AAGACACACACATACCATTCATTGCTTAAACACAAGTAGCCTTTGGGTGAACACTAGCAAGCATGGAGAGAACACTGAAGAGCAAAACTGAAAACACAATTGTCGACAGGGAACACACTGAATGTTTGACAGTGCCCACTTTTCTGTGAGACAAACATTAGACATCACAAAAAATTTTGAGACAAAACATCTTATTTTTACAGCCCCCCCCCCCCCCCACACACACACACACACACGTTTTGAGACAAAACATCTTGTTTTTACGCCCCCCCCCCAAGCATAATCATGGGCATCATGTCTCCGGTCTCTGTCTGGCCAGAGGGCCTCATCAACATCACAGGCGATGTCCTCCTGGTCCAAACAGCGCTGGAAGTACCACCTTGAAGGCCTCATGAAGCCCTGACAGGCCTCAAAGGCCACATCCCTTCAAGCCTCCTCCATGGCTTGTAGCAGTGGGACCTGGCTCTGTGGACTCCTTTCATACACCTTCCACCTCCAGGCTGAGAAAAACTCCTCAGTGGGATTGAGGAAGGGGGAATAAGGTGGAAGGTCTAAAATGGAAAACCGTGGGTGGTCCTGAAACCACTCATACACCTGGGTAGTCTTGTGGAAACTTACTTTTATGCTGCAGTCCCTGATTGCAAACTGCTCGCCAGACCTGAATTTTAGAGATTTGAATATTTGTGTGTTGTTGATTGAAGCTTTGAGAATTTATGTGAGAAGTGTGTGTAAACCTGAAAATTGTGTGTTGTGTTTTGACAGCAAGGTCATGTGAGATTGACATCAGAGTGTAAAGGAGGAAAATCAGAGTTCTAATATGATCAGGAAGTCTTAAGTAGTGATAAACCGAGTCAAGCGATTGGGAACAGAAGTAGAGGTTGTGAAAATTGTGCCTCATTTTTGCTTGTTGAGTTTTAGCAATCGAAAAAAACTGTAAGTAAAATGAGTCAAATATACTTTAAGTGCTGCATGAAGCTGATCTAGCCTTGTGATCTGTAAGCTCTTTGAATCACTAAGGAATGTATTTTTTATTTATTGATTTTTTTTCAAAATTTTCAAGTACACTTCAGGTGTTGTACTTGTACTGTTTTGGATACACTGTCCTCAGGCTCCTGCCTTGTTTTATATTGATTGTATTAAAACAAAGAAAACAATCTGAAGTTGTTTTTAGTTCACCGGTTCGGCCCACTTGGGACTAGATTTCCCTCGATGTGACCCCTGAGCTAAAATGAGTTTGACACCCCTGATATAAACTATACTATATAAACAACTAATAACTAGAGGGATGAGGAGGACTAGTATAAAGATAGGGATTACCAGGGAGCAAGGGCGTCAGTTTGTTGTCAGAACTGCTGGGGACAATAACCATACACTTGAGTGGGGTTTAAAAATTGCTGGGGACAATAAAGTAGGCTAGCACAGGGGTCGGCACCCCGCGGCTCTGGAGCCGCATGCGGCTCTTCCATCCATCTGATGCGGCTCTCTGTGCTTGTAAAACAATGAATGGATATTTAAATAAAATGCTTTATATTTTACTGCATTAATTTTACATCTGTATGCCAATTCTAAATGTAAAGATTGTCTGCGTAAACCTGAACAGGTCCAACCCGGTCTTACTGTGGGACCGGGTTGACGGGTCACGCTTGTGCGTAATCATATCGGCGCTTTCTGAGCTGAAGAGGATGTGAGATTCTGGGATTCTCCTCAGACGGCTCCTGGATGTGTCGCCACATTGGAGACAGGAACAAGCGCTATTCAGCCAAAGTTTCATAATCAGGGAACATTTTCTAAGTGACAAGTCTCTCTGAGAGACCGGGTTTGGAAAACACTCGCTTCAGTTGGAGGAACCTTCCCGCATGCGCTCTGGTTCTCTGGGTGGCTCTGGGGTTAATCAAGTTTAATTGTTTCTCTTTGCAGCAATCTTCACAGGAAGGCAAAACAGTTAAACGACAGGTTACAGATGTTTCCATTTGACTGTTTATTTTGACAGATGAACTCAAGAATGTTGGTTGGTTTGAAAGAATTACCCCGACGCACACTGATGCGCATGGATGAGCTGACATTTTAATCGTTAACGCACATCGCGGAGGTCAAATATTCCCATCAGAACATCAGAACTTTATACTGGACACTGTGTTCAGCGTGGCTCGGAGCGACCACGGTGGACAGTGAGCTGAAGATCTGGGGTTCGCAGCGCAGTGCAGAACCACGGTGCATGCGGTAAGATTTCCTCCCACTGAAACAGTCTGGAAACCTGGTCTCTCTGAGGGATGTGTCACTTGGAAAAATTTTCTTTTTATGAAATTATGAAACTTTGGCTGAACAGCGCTTGTTCCCGTCTCTAATATGGAGACGCATGACGCGTAGAGACATTTGATCACGCACAAAGTTTATGTGGAGCAGAAGCAGTCGGGCCACAGCAGGTGAAACGTTCCTAGCCTACATGAAGTGAAACTGTTTAATTGTAACATTAATATGTTACTGGACACGCTGGTCTGGTTGGTTAGACCAGTGTTTGAAGTGGAAAACACACACACACACACACACACCAATTAAAATAATGCTGATAGCGTGGACTAGAAGACAGGTGATGGTTTACGTATTTAAATGATGATCAGGCTGCTGTAAAATGTAATCTCCATCCACATCCAGACACAATTATCCTCTATTCTAGTTGCTCTGCTCTTGCCTGGGCTGACGTAGCTGATGGTGCGCGCGGTGCGCCTAACTAGCGGCTGATGCACATTTTACGCATTTGGAGAGGTGGGCTGGATGCTTTGCTTTTACTGGAAGATGGTCCACTTAACGCACGGGTGTAGACTACATATTAATGACAAATGAATGAAAATTAAATTGTGAGTTTTTACTTCATATTTTATAAATAAAAATGACGGGGAACACATTTATGACGTCTTTTTAAACTAAATTTTCTAGCGCGACCTGCCTGCTTCACTTAAGTCACTGCTTATTAAGGTCCGTCCAGAATGACCGTGGGAAACGGGTAATAATGGCTCTTTGATGGGAACAGGTTGCCGACCCCTGGTATAAGATCTGAGCTGGTAAAACAAAAATCCTCATCAGCAGGCTTTTTTGAAAGTGGGGGGGACACAGCTGCCAATCACAAATTTTGCCGGGGACATGTCCCCGGCGTCCCCGGTTAAAATGACGCCTATGCCAGGGAGTGACATGGGGAAACCTGAGGGAAGCCTAGAGAGAGCTGGGGATCATAATGGGACATAAGAGGAGAACCTGGAGTGAGAATAGGAGGGGGCTGGGGACCAGAGGGACACGGAACATGACATTTCTTTTTTTTTTTTCTTCTTCTTCTTCTTCTTCTTTTTCCTTTTCTTTTTCTTCTTCTTTTTTCTTTTACTTCTTTTTCTTCTTCTTTTCTTCCTCTTCTTTTTCTTCTTTTTCCTTTTCTTCTTCTTCTTTTTGTTTTTCTTTTTCTTTTACTTCTTTTTCCTTTTCTTTTTCTTTTCTTTTACTTCTTTTCTTCTTCTTTTTTCTTTTTCTTTTACTTCTTTTTCTTCTTCATTTTTTTCTTTTTCTTTTTCTTCTTTTTCTTCTTCTTTTTTTCTTTTTCTTTTACTTCTTTTTCTTTTACTTCTTTTTCTTCTTCTTTTCTTCCTCTTCTTTTTCTTCTTTTTCCTTTTCTTTTTCTTCTTCTTGTTTTTCTTTTTCTTTTACTTCTTTTCCTTTTCTTTTTCTTCTTTTTTCTTTTTCTTTTCTTTTACTTCTTTTTCCTTTTATTTTTCTTCTTTTTTCTTTTTCTTTTCTTTTACTTCTTTTCTTTGAACATCTTAGGTGTGTTCTTGCTGTGTCTTTCTAAATCCATGCTTTTGTTCTTTTTTTAACACAGATACAGTTTTGTTTACCTGTTTGTAGCTACAGTTTCGCCGACGGCTGCCGGCTTCTTCAGGCTGACGCTGATCACCATCAGCGTCAGCCTGAAGAAGCCGGCAGCCGTCGGCGAAACTGTAGCTACAAACAGGTAAACAAAACTGTATCTGTGTTTAAAAAAGAACGAAAGCATGGATTACTTCTTTTCTTCTTCTTTTTTCTTTTTCTTTTACTTCTTTTTCTTCTTCATTTATTTCTTTTTCTTTTTCTTCTTTTTCTTCTTCTTTTTTTCTTTTTCTTTTACTTCTTTTTCTTCTTTTTTCTTCTTCTTCTTTTTTTCTTTTTCTTTTACTTCTTTTTCTTCTTTTTTTCTTTTTCTTCTTCTTCTTTTTTCTTTTTCCTTTTCTTCTTCTTCTTCTTTTTTTCTTTTACTTTTTCTTTTTCTTTTACTTCTTTTTCTTCTTTGTCTTTTTCTTTTACTTCTTTTTCTTCTTCTTCTTTTTCTTTTTCCTTCTTTTTCTTCTTCTTCTTCATTTTTTCTTCTTCTTCTTTTTCTGTTTCTTCTTCTTCTTCTTTTTCTTCCTTTCAGTTAAATTTTCAATATTTCACAGGTCTCCTGATCCTGGACCAGACCAGGCCTACTGGTTCCAGAACAGAACAGACCTACTGGTTTTGGATCAGCCCTACTGGTCCTGGATCGGAGCAGACCTTCTGATCCTCGAGCAGATCTACCAGGACAAGGCTTCAGCTGGAGTAACAGAATGTATGCCAACATGTTTGTAACTACAGCTGATGTGTGTTGGTTTCCATAGCAAAGGTCCTGAAGCAAAACAAGGTGAGTCATCGGGCCAGGTGTCCTTAGCCTGGGTCTCTGCAGCTCCCAGATAAGTGTCCTGCTGCTGGACTTCTACGGTCCTGTCCCCCACCATACCACTTTAATTAACAATGTCCATAGTAACGCCATGATGGGTCCTACTGGGTTTCATGGTCCAACCAGAGCAGTTCTCTGAGGTACAAACATCCCCCCTAACCCACTACCCTGAACCCAGCAGGTCCATAGGTCAGAGGTCATCTCACCTCGGTCTAACAGCACATTGTTTTATTATTCTAAATATGAATAGGAACTCTAGAGCCGCTCAGGCTTCTCATATCCTTACCTGTCAGCTGATAATCCTGGACTATGTGACCTAGATCCTGTAAACGACCCCCAAACTCATCACCATGGAAACAGAGGAGTCTCTTCCACACACACGCACACACACACACACACACACACCTGGAGTTGAAAAGTCCCTCAGAGAGGAGAAAAGAGGAGGAAGCAGGAGAATGGAGGGAGGAGAGCAGGAGCAGAGTGGATCCTGAGGGAGCGTCTCTCCTCTCACCCTGACACGGATAAAAGGATTAAGGGAGGATGAGACCTGGAGTGGGGGGGAGACTAACAGGTCCCAGTAATAGGAAGGTTGCAGGTTAAATTCCTGCTGAGAATTCTTCTGTTGTGGCCTTGGGCAAGACCCTTAACCCTCCTGGCTGGAGGTGGGCAGACGGACTGATGCAGCATCAAGCGCTTTGGAGGCCTCTGGCTCTGAAAGGTGTGGGTCGTTTTCTACAGGGACCAGGTCCTACAGGGACCAGGTCTTGCAGAGACCAGGTCCTGCAGAGACCAGGTCCTAGTGAGACCAGGTCCTACAGGGACCAGGTCCTACAGGGACCAGGTCCTAGTGAGACCGGGTCCTAGTGAGACCAGGTCCTAGTGAGACCAGGTCCTACAGGGACCAGGTCTTGCAGAGACCAGGTCCTACAGGGACCAGGTCCTGCAGAGACCAGGTCCTGCAGAGACCAGGTCCTGCAGAGACCAGGTCCTACAGGGACCAGGTCCTACAGGGACCAGGTCCTGCAGAGACCAGGTCCTGCAGAGACCAGGTCCTAGTGAGACCAGGTCCTGCAGAGACCAGGTCCTACAGGGACCAGGTCCTAGTGAGACCAGGTCCTACAGGGACCAGGTCCTACAGGGACCAGGTTTCTGGGGGAGTGACATAAACATGAATAAAGATGAAAAGCAGATTAGAACCTGCTGCTTTGATCCTCCTGAGTAAGCAAGCACTGTAATCACACACACACACACACACACACACACACACACACACACACAGTTACAAACACACACACACACACACACACACACACACACACAGTTACAAACACACACACACACACACACACACACACAAACACACACACACACACACACAGAGGGCAGCTTTGATTGGCTTATCAGGAATTACTTTGTGTGTGTGTGTGTGTGTGTGTGTGTGTGTGTGTGTGTGTGTGTTTGTGTGTGTGTGTGTGTGTGTGTGTGTGTGTGTGTGTGTGTGTGTGTGTGTGTGTGTGTGTGTGTGTGTGTGTGTGTGAGTGTGTGTGTGTGTGTGTGTGTGTGTGTGTGTGTGTGTGTGTGTGTGTGTACTCATCTATATATCATGATCCTGCCTTCCAGCTGAACCGTGGCACTGAGGCAGCTCACTAATGTGTGTCGGGTGACTCGATTGACGAAGGCTTCCATGTCCTGATGCTTTTAGATCTCCTTCATTAACTCGTGTGTTATTTAGCCAGGTGACAGGTTCTTCTGCCAAGTGTTCCCAGCAGACCCTCACTATACGTTTGGGTCTGCCAGGTCTACGCGGCATGTTCCCTTGCCATCTGATCCAACTCACCACCAGGTGGTGATCAGTTGACAGCTCCGCCCCTCTCTTCACTCGGGTGTCCAAAACATACGGCCGCAGGTCAGATGATACGACTACAAAATCTATCATCGACCTGCGACCTAGGCTGCCCTGGTACCAAGTGTACCGGTGGGCATCCTTATGTTCGAACATGGTGTTCGTTTTGGCCAAACTGCGTATTGCACAGAAGTCCAATAACAAAACACCGCTCGAGTTCAGATTAGGTGGGCCGTTCCTCCCAATCACACCCCTCCAGGTCAAGCTGTCATTGCCCAGGTGAGCATTGAAGTCCCCCAGCAGGACAATGGAGTCCCCTGATGGAGCACTATCTAGCACTCGTCCCAGGGACTCCAGAAAGGGTGGGTACTCTGAACTGATATTTGGCCCGTAAGCACAAACAACAGTCAGGACCCGTTCCCCGACCCGAAGGTGTCATGGTTCTGCTTCTTCTCTGTGGCTGTGCTCCTGAGTGTTTGCAGGTGAGCAGGTTGGAGAGCCACAGCTGCAGCTGATTATCATCCAGCCAGGCCAGAGGATATAAGGAGCGCTGTTGCCACACTTCAGTGCCGGTTGATACTCTATTGTTGGGTACTCTAGCTCTCCTCGTTCCTCTTTGACTCTAGTCTCGTGTTTTTCTCCCGTGTGCTCAGTTTTGCTCTCCTTGTCTGCTCCAGTACCAGCCCTGGATTCTTACCCTCAGCTCCCTGCTGACTGAAGTGGATTTATTTCCCAACGCCGCTCAACTCCTCTGGTCTCTCCACCTCTCACCTGTCCTGGATTACTCCTTTGCCTGCTACTCCTCTCCACCAGACCATCTCCAGCTCAGACCTGACTTGCCTCCCTCTCACGCTCAGACCCACACCTCGTACTGTAAGACTCCACCACCATTACTCCACAGTGTTTTCTTGGTTCTCAGTTTTCATTTTTTGCTATCTTCTGATTTAGAATCAGAACACCCCCCTGGCCCCGTTTGGATCAGCGCTTTTCGTTTTCATTAATTTACTTTATAATAAAAACTACATAATATTTTACTCACCTCTTTCCTCGTGTGATTCTTTCATGTGGGTTAGAAGACTTCAGCCCAACATGACAGAAGGCGCAAGGAAGCTACCCTCTTGTCCCCCGGGGTAAACCCCAACACACAGGCAGAGAGTCTTGGGGCTAACAAAAGGCCAACCCCAGCCCTCCGCCTCTCACCTGGAGCAACTCCAGCGAAGGAGAGTGTCCACCCCCTCTCAAGGACTTGGGTTCCAGAGCCAATGCAATGTGTCGAGGTGAGTCCGACTATATCTAGCCGGTACCGCTCAACCTCTGCCACAAGCTCCTGCTCCTTCCCCACCAGCGAGGTGACGTTCCATGTCCCAAAAACCAGTTTTCTTGTCCAGGGATCGAACCGCCAAGGCTCCCGCCTCGGTCTGCCACCCGATCCAAACTGCACCGGACCCTTCATGTTCCTCCTGCGGGTGGTGGGTCCACAGTTGGATGAGCCCATGTATCCGGTTCGGGCTGGGCCCGGCTGGGCCCCATGGGCGAAAGCCCGGCCACCAGGCGCTCGCTCACGGGCCCCAACCCCAGGCCTGGCTCCAGGGTGGGACCCCGGTAACCCTCCGGGCCGGGTACTCCGACTCTTTGAATTTACATCCATGAAAGATCCTCTGAACCATTCTTTGTCTCACCCTTCACCTAAGACCAATTTGTCATGGGAGACCCTACCAGGGGCACAAAGTGCTCCAGACAACATAGTTCCTAGGATCATTAGGTCACTCAAACTCCTCCACCACGATAAGGTGACGGTTCAAGGAGGAGTAACCAGTCAGTTATCAAAGGCAATTCAATTCTATTCAAGTTTATTTATAAAGCGCCAAATCACGACAAGAGTCGTCTCAAGGACCTTCACATAATAAACATTCCAATTCAGGTCAGTTCATTAAGCCAATCAGTAACAAGTTTCCTATATAAGGAACCCAGCAGGTTGCATCAAGTCACTGACTAGTGTCAGAGACTATACAGCAATCCTCATACTAAGCAAGCATGTAGCGACCGTGGAGAGGAAAACTCCCTTTTAACAGGAAGAAACCTCCAGAGAATCCTGGTTCAGTATAAGCAGCCATCCTCCACGACTCACTGGGGATGGAGAAGACAGAGCAGGCACACACACACACACACACACACACACACACACACACACACACACACACACACACACACACACACACACACACACACACACCAAGTAGTGTTACTATGGTAACATTATGAGGGTCTGCTGGGAACGCCTGGCTGAAGAACTTGTTAAGACGGTCTTCAACTCCCACCTCCGGCAGATCTTTGACCGCGTCCCGAGAGCAGTGGGGGACATTGAGTCCGAGTGGGACTTGTTCCACTCTGCGATTGATGAGGCAGCTGTTGCTAGCTGTGGTCACAAGGTGGCCGGTGCCAGTCGTGGTGGCCACCCCCGTACCCGCTGGTGGACACCAGAGGTTCGGGGAGCCATCAGGCTGAAGAAGGAGGCCTACAGGGCGTGGCTGGTCTGTGGGTCTCCGGAGGCAGCAGACAGGTACTGGATAGTCAAGCGGGGTGCAGCAGTGGCAGTTGCCGAGGCAAAATCTCGGGCGTGGGAGCAGTTTGGTGAGGCCATGGAGAAAGACTATCGATCGGCTCCAAAGAGGTTCTGGCAAACTGTCCGGCGCCTCAGGAGAGGAAGGCAGCAACTCGCTCACACTGTTTACAGTGGGGATGGGGAGCTGCTGACGTCAACTGGGGCTATAGTCGGACAGTGGAAGGAATACTTTGAGGAGCTCCTCAGTCCCACCTACGCGCATTCTGAGGAGGAACCAGAGCTGGGAGACCTGGGGATGGACTGTCCGATCTCGGGGGCAGAAGTTGCTGAGGTAGTCAAACAACTACACAGTGGCGGAGCCCCGGGGGCGGATGAGGTTCGTCCTGGGTATCTCAGGGCTATGGATGTTGTAGGGCTGTCATGGTTGACACGTCTCTGCAACATTGCGTGGTCATCAGGGGCAGTTCCTGTGGAGTGGCAGACCGGGGTGGTGGTCCCCATCTTTAAGAAGGGTGACCTGAGGGTGTGTTCTAACTATAGGGGGATCACACTCCGCAGCCTCCCTGGAAAGGTCTACGCCAAGGTACTGGAGAGGAGGGTCTGATCGATAGTTGAATCTCAGATAGAGGAGGAGCAATGTGGTTTTCGTCCTGGCCGTGGAACTGTGGACCAGCTCTATACCCTTGCAAGGGTGATGGAGGGGGCATGGGAGTTTGCCCAACCAATCCACATGTGTTTTGTGGATTTGGAGAAGGCTTTTGACCGTGTCCCCAGGGCCACCCTGTGGGGGACGCTCCAGGAGTATGGGGTGGGTGGCCTTTTGCTAAGACCCATTCAGTCCCTTTACCAGAGGAGCCTGAGTTTGGTCCGCATAGCCGGTAGTAAGTCGGACCTGTTCCCAGTGAGGGTTGGACTCCGCCAGGGCTGCCCTTTGTCACCGGTTCTGTTCATTACCTTTATGGACAGAATTTCTAGGCGCAGCCGTGGTGTGGAGTGTGTCGAGTTTGGTGGCAGGAGAATCTCGTCTCTGCTTTTTGCGGATGATGTGGTCCTCCTAGCTTCATCCAGCTCTGACCTTCAGCTCTTGCTGGGTAGGTTCGCGGCCGAATGTGAAGCAGCTGGGATGAGGATCAGCACCTCCAAATCTGAGACCATGGTTCTCGACCGGAAAAGGGTGGCTTGCCAACTCCGGGTCGGGGGAGAGGTCCTACCTCAAGTGGAGGAGTTTAAGTATCTTGGGGTCTTGTTCACGAGTGAGGGTAGGAGGGATCGGGAGATCGACAGGCGGATTGGTTCGGCCTCTGCAGTGATGCGGACGCTGAGCCGATCTGTCGTGGTGAAGAGGG